CTCTTCCTTCAATAGGTGCTGCAAAATAGGCAGAGCCACATGCCCCATGCGCCGATGCAAAGTCAACCAATCACACTCCCCCGTAGCCGAAGTCGGATTGTTGAATGCCGCACTCGCAATAGTGCCCCACATGCTCTCTCCGTACTCCTCCTCCGCTACTTCCTCGGGGTTCTTCTCACCCTTTTGCTGCTCCTTGGCTGCTTCACCACTCTCCTTATGCTCACACTGCTTGCTGGTCCCTCCAAGATTGCACTTCTTGGACTCTTTCTCCTTGATGACATCGCCGTCGCCGCTACCAACCGCTTCACCCTTGGTGCTGACGCTTGCTGCCACTTGCCTCTCCTTAGGCATTGGGACCACAGGGATCTGCCACATCTCGTTGTAGACATCCTTGTCTTTGTGAAGGTCCTAAAGAATCCGCTTGCCAAGCCTTTCGGTGTAGGCCTTGGCTCCCTTTGAGCTCGTGTCCATGCCGACCTTTTGCAATCGCTGCACGGAAATCAGGTTCGCAGCAAGGTTGGGCACTAAAAAAACGTTCTTGAAGCCCACCATCTTCCTATCAATACCTTTAAACATGGCCTTGCTCATGCCTTTCACCTCTTCTCGCTGCCCCAAAGCCGATGTGACATGCTTCACCGGTGACGGTTCAAGTTCGGTGAGCAAGTCCGCACGAGGTGTCATGCTATGGGTAGCGCCGCTATCGATCACCCAATAGTCGAGAGAGTGTAGGGTCACCTGGTGCAGGCTCCTCAAAGCCTTCCACCTTCTCTGGTCCAGCCGATGATTGCGTTGAGACGAAGAAGAATTAACCCGGGAACCAATCGTCGCTCGAGTCGTTGTCGTTATCTCCACTCTTCATGTTTTGCAGCTCCACCTCCACGACCGTCACGGCCTCCACGGCCTCTTCCTCTCCCTCCCCCTGCTCCTCTACCCTCTTGGCCTTGAGCAGGAGTCCATCCATCAGGGATTTTGTAGCAATCGAGGCCACATGTGTCTGCTCTTGTGGCAAAAATGGCACTCGCCGTCGAACCGTCCGCGACCGCGTCCGTAGCTCTTGTTGTCATTGCCATAGCTGCCACTTCCGCGGCCTCCATTGTGTTGGTGCAACCCTACGGTTTGCACTCGGCTTGTTGTCCGTGTGCGTGAATGTGTGTGTGTATGGAATGGTATGAGGGCATGGGATAATATATATTTCATGCTTATAATTGTGTGTGAATGTTGAGTCATGATGTCGAGTGTGTGTGTCGAGTCAATAGCGAGTTATCGCTAGACGCGTGTTACGCGGTCGTTTGTGTCTCGCGCGCGGTTTTTATTTTGTCGTGCGCGGTTTCTATTTTGTCCTGTGTCGAACGTTCGGCGTGTCGCAGGTGTGTGCAGCAGACCCATCAAGAACTCAAGGATGAGTTTGTGATGAAGAGCCCGAGCCTTGGTGTCAAGCCTCAAGTGATTTCGAAGCTTGCCAAAAAGGGTACACCTCAAGATATTGAAGATAGTTACATTACTTTGTGTAGTGTAACATTTCACTTGGTGTAGGCCCTAGTGAAGGGTAGTTTCGAGACCCTTCGTGGTTGGGGACAGTGTGGCACTGTTCCACATCACTGTACCTCGGCTCTTGGGGTTTGTAGGAGCTGGGAGTCATTCCCAACTCGTAACTCTTCCTATCTTGTGTTCTAAGACTATAGTGGCTGCCATAGTACCATTCGTTCAAACTGACGCTGTATCGTCAATTCTTTATCAAATCGTGCAATATAAATTGCTAATTGTAGACGACGTAAAGACGCTCCAGATCCAATTTGAATCAGGTCATTTGCAGCTGTGAGCAGAACGCTATCAACGTTTGAAGCCGCTGTGCAGAAATCCGTCTGTGCTCTCTATCTTTCGTTTTAGGCACATTCAAGCCTATTGTGACTATAACACATTGTAGTTGCTGCCTCCAAACCTTCCTCCTCCTCGTCCTCTACCCCTTCCACGACCATATCCCCGGCCGATGCTTGCTGCCCCGGCGCCATCCGAACCCCCCAACTCACGGCGGCGGAAATCCTCTTGAAGGATTGCTCGCTTCGCGTCTTCAAGCAAGAGGCAGGGCTAGTCACGATTGAGGTTGATGATGAGTGAGGACCATGACTCTGGGAGTAAGGCCAGAAACTTGGTCTTCTTTTGGAGCTCACTATAGTTGAGATCCGCTCCTTCAAGCCGCATCAACAAGTCGAAGAGTTTCTGCATCCCATCTTCAACCGATTCATCTTCTTCAATTCGTAGTGCCGCCATTTGCCGCTCCAACACCACCGCTTCCGCCGCTGTTGCAGAAGCATGTACACCTTTGAGAGCAGCCCATACCTTTGGTCCCTTCTCTGGTTCACGCTGGAATGGCTTGATGTGACGGATTTGGCCGCTCCCCAACACTTGCCCAAGTAGGAGATAGCCTTGTGCGCTCTTCCGCACCCACGGGCTCTTCTCCGGGTCATTCTCGGGGTGCTTCTCCGTTCTTTCCATCACCTCCAGCAGGTCATAGTGGTCAAATACGTTCTCCATTTTGAAGGACGATTCAGCGAAGTTGTCGCCATTGAACTTGTCAAGCCCAAACACCCTAGGTTCGTCCTTAGGTGGGCCAAGACTTGGTTGCACGGGCGCCATGGCTGAATCACGGGGTTGGCCTTGAGCTTGGGCTTCTCCACTGCACCTTTGCCACCCTTTTCCTCAGGTCCAGCCACCCCTTTCCTCAAGTCACAGTAGGCTTGAATGTGCCTAAAACGAAAGATATAGTGCACGGTCGGATTTCTGCATAGCGGCTTTAAACGTTCATAGCGTTCTGGTCACAGCTGCAAATGACCTTTTTCAACTTGGATCTAGAGCGTCTTAACATTGCCTACAATAGTCAATTTAGATCGCACGATTTCATTAAGAATGGACGACACAACGTTGGTTTGAACGAACGGCACTATGGCAGCCACTATAGTCTTAGAACACAAATTAGGAAGAGTTACGAGTTGGGAATGACTCCCAGCCTCCACAAACCCCAAGAGCCGAGGTACAGTGATGTGGAACAGTGTCACACTGTCCCCAACCATGAAGGGTCTCGAAACTACCCTCCACAAGGGCCTACACTAAGAGAAATGTTACAGTACACATTATAATGTAACTATTCTCACTATCTTGAAGTTTACCCTTTTGGAGAGTTTCGAAATCACTTGAATCTTGAAACCAAGGCTCTCGTTCTTCAAGATTAATTCTTCTTTTAGTTCTTGGAAGTCTGCTGCGCACACCTGCAACACGCCGAACGTTCCACACACGACAAAATAGAAAACTGCACACGACACGCAAACGACAACGTCACACGCGACTAGACACATTAAAAATCATGCCTCATCATTCACACACTATTGTAAGCATGAAATATATATTATCTCATGCCTTCATACCATTCCATGCACATACGCATGCACGCACGCGGACAACAGGCCGAATGCAAACCGTAGGGTTGCATCAACAACCGCCACCGCCACCTGTTTCCGTACAGGATGAACCAGAGTGGTGTGACCGCATTGCGATATCATGTTGAGGCTCTTGAGACTTGCTCTAGTGCTCTGTTGTGTCACGAGGTAAGGTGGAATTTTCTGCAGTGTTGTGTATTCTCTTGCTTGGATGGTACTGCATTATTCTCATGTTGAGGCTCTTGAGACCTGCTGTACTGCTCTGCTGCATCACTAGGTGAGGTGGGATATGCTGCAGTGTGGTGTATGCTCTTGCTTGGATGGGACTGCATTGTTCCCATTTTAAGGCTCTTGATACTTGCTCCACTGCTCTGCTACGACCCGAGCTAAGGGGTCTTTCTTACGTGGAACATGCTGACGTATGGAGCATGCTGGGTTGGGGGATGTGTTGATATGGGAGGATATAAGGAGATGGGAGATGTGCAGTGGCGTGTCCTTGGCTGTGCAACAGTATTTTGGTGTCATGGTGAGGCGCTTGAGAGACCTGCGTCAGGGCTCTGTTGCACCCCATGGCGCATGTCCTGTTAGAATCCTAGCGTGACTTAGGAGCCATGGCTAGTGAGTGTCGAGAGGATTGAGTGTCGAGAGGATTGAGTGTCGAGAGGATTGAGTGTCGAGAGAATTGGAAAGGAGAATGAGGGGTTTCACTATATGAAGTTGGGATACAAATAGCAAACCCTAAATTGGGTTGTACTCACATAGAGTACCCCACTGCAGGCTAAACAACAAATACATTCTGACACACCCCCATAGTCAAAGTGGGGTATAATCAGCAGAGCAAGCAGTCATAGAGTAGGTTCACAAGTACAAGCAAAACTAGAGGCATTCACAAAGGGCAAGTGAGGAGGAGGCTGGACTGTAAGAGGAGAGTAGATAGGAGGCGGCTGCTGATGCTGCTGACACTCGGGCAACAGGAGCGGCGCGCACTGTGGCTACCAGGGCCGTATCCCCGGACTACAGGAGTAACTGGCTCTGCGGCTAACTCTGAGCGGCAGGAGCAACGGACCCACAGGCGACAGGCGCAGCAGGCTCTCTGAGCTACCAGAAGCAGAGCCCCGGACTACAGGTGCTGCGGACGACAAGACGGCAGCCTCCGCTCAACCTCCCCCAACTGTCCCACCCCCCTTACACACACCCCTTGCTGTACCCCTAGCTCCACTCCCACGTCACCCCCCTAGCACCAATCCCTCGGCTCCCACACACCCACCCCCCTCAGCGGCAGCTGCAGCAGTGGGAGACGAAGGTGGAGGAGGAGGAGGGGACGGTTCACACACCCGCCACCCCCATACCCGCCACCCCGCAGTTGCACCCACACCCGCCACCCCCATACCCTCCCCCCACTGCTGCACCTGCAGCAGGGGATGGAGGAGAAGGGGGGGGGGGGGGGGGGGGCCGGGGGGGGGGGCTGGTGCTGTAGATCCCCTCCCCCCCACTGCTGCACCCGCAGCAGGGGGAGGTAGGAGAAGGGAGGGGGGGGGGGGGGGGGGGGGGGGGGGGGGGGGGTTGTGCATGGCGCGTGCAGAGGGCAGCAGGGCGTGCGAGGCGCACAGGGCAGCAGGGCAGCAGGGCGCACAGGGCTGCAGGGTAGCAGGGCGTGCGGGGCAAACAGGGCAGAAGGGCGCACAGGGCTGCAGGGCAGCAGGGCGCACAGGGCTGCAGGGCAGCAGGGCGCGCGGGGCGCGCAGGGCTGCAGTGCGCGCAGGGCGCGCAGGGCTGCAGTGCGCGCAGGGCGCGCAGGGCTGCAGTGCGCGCAGGGCGCGCAGGGCAGCAGGACAGCAGGGCACGCAGGGCTGCAGGGCGCACGGGGCGCAGCAGGGCTGCAGGGCGCGCGGGGCGCGCAGGGCAGCAGCAAGGGCTGTAGCGGAAACAGCAAGGGCTGTAGCGGCAGCAGCAGGGCAGCAGGGCGCACAGGGCTGCAGGGCAGCAGGGCGCACAGGGCTGCAGGGCAGCAGGGCGCGCGGGGCGCGCAGGGCTGCAGGGCGCGCGGGGCGCACAGGGCAGCAGGGCAGCAGGGCGCACAGGGCTGCAGGGCAGCAGGGCGCGCGGGGCAAACAGGGCAGCAGGGCGCACAGGGCTGCAGGGCAGCAGGGCGCACAGGGCTGCAGGGCAGCAGGGCGCGCGGGGCGCGCAGGGCTGCAGTGCGCGCAGGGCTGCAGTGCGCGCAGGGCGCGCAGGGCAGCAGGACAGCAGGGCGCGCAGGGCTACAGGGCGCACGGTGCGCAGCAGGGCTGCAGGGCGCGCGGGGCGCGCAGGGCAGCAGCAAGGGCTGTAGCGGCAACAGCAAGGGCTGTAGCAGCAGCAGCAGGGCAGCAGGGCGCACAGGGCTGCAGGGCAGCAGGGCGCACAGGGCTGCAGGGCAGCAGGGCGCGCGGGGCGCGCAGGGCTGCAGGGCGCGCGGGGCGCACAGGGCAGCAGGGCAGCAGGGCGCACAGGGCTGCAGGGCAGCAGGGCGCGCGGGGCAAGCAGGGCAGCAGCAAGGGCTGTAGCGGCAGCAGCAGGGCAGCAGGGCGCACAGGGCTGTAGGGCAGCAGGGCGCACAGGGCTGCAGGGCAGCAGGGCGCGCAGGGCTGCAGGGCGCGCGGGGCGCACAGGGATGCAGGGCGCGCGGGGTGCACAGGGCAGCAGGGCAGCAAGGCGCACAAGGCTGCAGGGCAGCAGGGCGCGCGGGGCAAACAGGGCAGCAGGGCAGCACAGGGCTGAGGGGGGGGGGGGTGGGGCTGATGCTGCAACTCCCCTCCCCTCCCCTGCTGCTGCAGATCCCCTCCCCCCCACTGCTGCGCCCGCAGCAGGGGGATGGAGGAGAAGTGGGGGGGGGGGGGGGGCTGGGGGGGCCTGGTGCTGCAGATCCCCTCCTGCCTCCCCCTGAACCTCCAAGCTCCCCCCCCCTCCCAACACAGGGAGAGAGAGAGAGGAGAAAAGGGTCGGGGGGGGGAGGGGGGGGCTGATGCTGCAAATCCCCTCCCCCCACTGCTGCTGCAGATCCCCTCCCACCCACTGCTGCACCCACAGCAGGGGTGGAGGAGAAAAGGGGGGGGGGGGGGGGGGGGGGGGGGGGTGCTGCAGATCCCCTCCTGCCTCCCTCTGAACCTCCAAGCTCCCCCCCCCTCCCAACACAGGGTGCGGCAGGGAGAGAGAGAGGAGAAAAGGGCGGGGGGGGGGGGGAGGGGGGGGGCTGATGCTGAAAATCCCCTCCCCACACTGCTGCTGCAGATCCCCTCCCCCCCACTGCTGCACCCGCAGCAGGGGTGGAGGAGAAAAGGGGGGGCGGGGGGGGGGGGGGGGGGCTGGTGCTGCAGGTCCCCTCCCTCCACTGCCGCATCCGCAGCAGGGGGAGATAGGAGAAGGGGGGAGGGGGGGCTGGTGCTGCAGGTCCCCTCCCCCCACTGCCGCATCCGCAGCAGGGGGAGATAGGAGAAGGGGGGGGGGGGGGGCTGGTGCTGCAGATCCCCTCCCCCCCCACTGCTGCACCCGCAGCAAGGGGGGAGGTAGGAGAAGGGGCAGTGCAGGAGCCGCTTGGGCGACAGCAGGTGGCCACACCCGCCACCCCCATACCCTCCCCCAACTGCTGCACCCGCAGCAGAGAGATGGAGGAGAAGGGGGGGGAGGGGGGGGGCGGGGGGGGGGGGCTGGTGCTGCAGATCCCCTCCTGCCTCCCCCTGAACCTCCAAGCTCCCCCCCCCTCTCCCACCACAAGGTGCGGCAGGGAGAGAGAGAGGAGGAGGCGTGGCGGCAGCTGCTGCTGCTGAGGCACATCCGCCACCCCCTCACACCCTCTCCCCGCCATCCCCATGGAGGTGGGGGAGGGGGGGGAGGGGGGCGGGGGCGGAGCTGTGCGTGCGACTGTAGGGCACACGGGCAGGAGGAACCCCCTCTTGCCACCCCCTCACCCACCATGTTGCAACAGGGCACTGGGGCCGCGGTTAGGGGCGGCAGGTCGCGAGGGGCCATGGCTAGGGGCGACGGGGCCATGGCTAGGGACGGGGCCGGGCGCTGGGCAGGTACGGGGCCGGGCGCTGGGCAGGTACGGGGCCTGGCGCTGGGCAGGTAAGGGGCCGGGCACTGGGCAGGAACGGGGCCGGGCGCTGGGCAGGTACGGGGCCGGGCGCTGGGCAGGTACGGGGCCGGGCGCTGGGCAGGTACGGGGCCGGGCGCTGGGCAGGTACGGGTACGGGGCCGGGCGCGGGCTAGGTACGGGGCCGGGCGCTGGCTAGGGTCGGGGCCGTGCGCTGGGCTAGGTACGGGCCGGGCGCGGGGCTAGGAACGGGCCGAGCGCGGGCGAGAGACGGGGCCGGGCGCGGGCAGGGTACGTGGCCGGGCGCGGGCGAGGTACAGGGCCGGGCGCTGGCTAGGTACGGGGCCGGGCACTGGCTAGGGTCGGGGCCGTGCGCTGGGCTAGGTACGGGCCGGGCGCGGGGCTAGGTACGGGCCGAGCGCAGGCGAGAGACGGGGCCGGGCGCGGGCAGGGTACGGGCCGGTCGCGAGGCTAGGTACGGGCCGGGCGCGGGGCTAGGAACGGGGCCGAGCGCGGGCAGGGTACGGGCCGATCGCGGGCTAGGTACGGGGCCAAGCGCGGGCGAGGTATGGGCCGGGCACGGGGCTAGGAATGGGGCTGAGCGCGGGCTAGGTACGGGCCGATTGTGGGCTAAGTACGGGCCGGGCGCGGGGCGATGGAGTCGACGGGGCCAGCGGGGCCGAGGGGCACAGCTAGGGGCGACGCCTAGGGGCGACGGGGCCAAGGGGCCGAGGCGACGGGGCCAAGGGGCCGAGGCGACGGGGCCAAGGGGCCGAGCCTAGGGGCTAGGGGCGACGCCAAGGGGCGACGGGCCGGGGCCTAGGCTAGCAGGGCAGTAGGTGGTGGGCCCATTAAGATTAGGTCCTAGAAAATTGTTGCTCTTAATACCATGTTAGAATCCTAGCGTGACTTAGTAGCCATCCTAGCGTGACTTAGGAGCCATGGCTAGTGAGTGTCGAGAGGATTGAGTGTCGAGAGAATTGGAAAGGAGAATGAGGGGTTTCACTATATGAAGTTGGGATACAAATAGCAAACCCTAAATTGGGTTGTACTCACTACAGAGTACCCCACTGCAGGCTAAACAACAAATACATTCTGACATATCCTGGTTCAGCAAACATCACGCTTAAGTTCTCAATTCAATTCAGTAAACTAAATTGCTGAAACGCCTATGTCATGGGCTAGCTACAGAACAAAGCTGCTGCCCAGGCACTTGTTAGGGCGCTAGAAGACACTTCATGCGACGCCATGGTTTGGCATGAAGCTGCAGTGGCGCTAGGCTCTGTTGCAGGTATGGAAACGCATGTGTACTGTATCGGCTTTATCAGAAACCTATTGAAGTTGTTCTCTACGAGCGTGTATGTGTTTATGCGGTGCTATAACCTCGTATGTGCCTTGCAGACCTATCGACACTGCAGCTTCTAAAAGGGTTGTAAAAGGACCCTGACCCTATTGTAGCTGAGAGCTTTGACATGGCCATTTAATCCAGTTTGAACTGCCCCCAGATGCATTCCACGTAAACATATTTGGTGGCTCCTTTGTTCATGTAACTGTGTATGGTTGTTTGATAACTTATGTATTCATCCTCCCCTGCTGAAATTGCTTTTGTTCCTCTTGCAGTATGCTGGTGTTTTGGAAAACGATGCTCACTGAATTCAAACGAAATTATTATCACGATGCTACCACGGGATGCACACTGCATATGGTTATAGGTTTCTTTGGATCGGACTTGGTAAAAAAGGGAAGTCAAGTAAAAACATAACACTTTCTTGGGCAGTAATGTTACCTACCGGTACCAGCTCCCGTCAGTTTTGTACCATTGGTATGTCCAATATAACACCTGCATCCTAAAGCAACGAATACAGCATGCTCTACTTGATGGAATTATCGACTCATGTTTGCTTGCTTGCTCTGCACCGGAGCACAGAAACCTGGAGTGGACGGGTGCCCCTTGTCAGCTGTGCTCCTTGTTGCTGTATATCCAGGCAATCTGGTGCTGGCCTCGGGCAGCACAAAGACTTTATCCAGCAGCAGCAAGGGCTTACATTTCAGGTTTTGTTGCTCTGCCTGTTAGAGAATTCTTGACAAAACTTTGAAAATCAGACTTGAGTAGGGGCGTTCTCTATTTTCTCGTAAAACTGTGTTTGGGAAAATACTAGTACAGTAACAAAATTTCAATACCGTGAGGGGTGCGGTCAAACTGAATGTTCCCAATTCATAATGAAACTATATTGAAATTTGTTACAATCCCACGGGGGACTTTGCCAGGATCATCAGGGTTGTTCGCAGAGGGGTATTGCAGCGGAAGTGAGTGACCTCCGATCATAGTGAATGTAAATGATTGAAGTGATTATAGCAAAGGCATACATTGGTTTATATAGAAATGCAGAGGAACACGAAAAGTCCTAGCTAGCCATGTACTCTACTGGGTAAATTTCCTTATTACAGCAAAACTCAACTGTGCGGCGCAGGAACCCGATTCAAACCTGTTCCCGCCATTTCCAGTTCAAATATTTCTGCCTGCATCGGTCCTTGCCAAAGAACCGCTTCCGTCCCTTCGACTCGCCTGACTCCTCGTCTTCGTACACGGTAGTGTTAGCTCCTGTTGCGTACTGGAATGTACTTCACTTAACTCCATATCAGAACACCCCCGTTCAATCCTGGGCGTAGCAGGTGCTGCCTTGCTTGACTACCCCGGTGAGGTTGGAGCAGTGCTAGTACTGCTGACGTGGCAGTCGCTTGGTGAGAAATTCAGCTACCATGTCAGTCGTGGGGCAGTACGTCAGATCGACCTTTCCTTGGTCGATTTCATCCTTAATGAAGAAGTACCATAGTGCGATGTGCTTCATTCTGTTAACGAAGACGGGCTTGTTTGCGATCTTGATCGCGCTCTGATTGTCGCAGCGGAGGCGAAATGTCGGCGATGTTGGGATTTTCGCCTCCTGCATGAGCTCTTGCAGGTAGAGTCCTTCACGAACTGCAGCGGTTGCGGCGATGTATTCCGCTTCAGCTGACGACAGGGCAACCAGCTACTGATTCTGGGTATCCAGGAGATTGGCCCGGTTGGCTTGAGGCGAAAAACGAAGCCCGTTCGTGACCATCGATTGGCAAGATCAGCGGCGTGATATCCGTCCACGTAACCAGCGAGGTTGAAGGATGGTGTTGTCAGCGTTTGAGTAGGAGAGGCCGATGTCAGGCGTGGAGATGAAGTACTGCAGGGCACGCTCGAGGTCCAGCAGGTTCTCTGCCACTGTGGAAAGGTCGGGTCTGCAGGTGACAGAGGCGAAGAGCAGGCAACCCAGTTGCTGCTGGTAAAGATGGAGTCATGCGGGCGACAGAGGTTTGTTGTCCGGTTTGTGGTTGGCACCAGGTGAGTGGTAGGGGGTTGAGAGCGGTGCGGGTGGAATCTTGAATCGCTCACCTAGTGACTCTGGGAGATGGATAGCTTCTACCGCATAGGAGATGTTGAGCCCCAGGAATTGCGTCACGTTGTGGTTGGTGGTGATGTCGATGCGCAGCGCCAGGTTCGTTTTGAACTGGTCGAGTAGCGCGTTACTTGTTCCCGTGTATAGTATATCATCGACGTACACTGTCAGAAGAATATAGTTCCCGCAGAAGTGGAGGTGATACATCCCCGGGTCGTGTGGCAATTACTTGAAGCCTATCTCAAGCAGAATTTTGTGCAGGTGCTGCTGCCACAGTCGCGTTGCCTGCTTGATCCCGTAGAGGGATTTCTTCAACTGGCAGACCCTCAGGTCTCCTTCCCCATAGGTATGCGGCTGCTCCACGAAGATTTTTGCATCGACCTGCGCGTATAGGAACGCGTTCTTCACGTCGATCTATCGTAGCGATAGGTGCCTTGCGGCAACGATGGCGAGTAGTATCCTCACAGAGGTGTGGTGGCTTACGGGAGCGAAGGTTTGGTCGAAGTAGATGTTGTGGCGCTGATCGCAGCCGCCTACGACCCACCTAGCCTTGAAGCCCTCGACGGCATCGGTTTTTACACGAAAGACCCACTTTCCTGATAGTACCCTCTTGCCTTTTACTGTTGCTTGACCGACTAGGACCCAGATGTCCCGCGATTCCATTGCTTTTAGTTCGGCGTCCATGGTTGCGCGCCATTCCTTGGCGTGGGGTCCGGTCAGAGCCTGCCTTGGGTTCTTAGGCTCGATGACCGTGAGGCATTGGTTGTGGCGGTGTATAGGCCAAGCAGCTATAGTCCCGTGACGTTTGTGTCGTGACGCTCCTCGATAGTTACCTCATGAACGGCGTCGTCATCGCTTTCAGGTGCAAGCGAGGGGCTCCTTGTCGGGTCTCTGCATCTTGATGGTCCGGGCGCGTTGTCGTTATCGTTGTCATCTTAGTCGTTGCGCGGTCAAAGGGGTACGCCAGGGTGTTC